GCAAAAACAAAGTTGACTTAGACTTTGGTTTCTCAAACCTCAACACTGAAGTAAACTATTATTTCAATGCTGCTGGAGATGCTTGGGACCCAGTTAAGTTCACATGCGAAAAATTTGAATGCAAGAGAATAGAAAGCAGACTTGCAGTCTATATGTTGGACCCAGATATTTCAAATGCTTTAGCTGCCAAATATATTGCAGTTCCACTTATGTTCCCTATACACCAAATATCTGTCAAAGACTTTGCAGGTGAAGTTGGAAACCAAAGTGCTGACCCAGGTGCAAGAACAGATATTGCTTTAACAACTGCAATGAAACATGCAGATACTATGTTTGTACTGTTCAGACGAACTATAAATGACTATTCTTGCTTCTACAACCCTGGTATTAAATACCATATAAACATAGATGGCAAATACTATCCAAGAGAAGAATATTCTACAGTTGAGGATATGAGGTCATACAACTTGACATTAGATGCTATGAACTTTAACAACAACTTCACAACAACTATTAACCCTGAAATGCAAAGTTCTATTATGCCATATGTGAAAGTATGGACTCATACAGGAGGTCAAAAAACTCAATATACAAATGGAGACCGTTCAAACTTTTGGCTTGGCATTCCATTTGCTGACTCAGAAGACTTTATGGGTGGTATTTCAACTGTTGGTACAGTTCAAATACAATATACTGGTGACAGAGACGGTCCAGATGAATTGAAAGCAAAGAAGTTTACAAAACCAATAGCACTTTTCACGGAAGATGCTCTTTTGAAGATTCGTTCGATGAAACCTGCTGGGGCTCCTCAGATTGGCATAACGACAGCTTCCATCGAGCAGATTTTGGCAGCAGGTCAGTAAGTTGTTCTTGAACTGACTTCTCTCCGTCAAATATTGACAGTACGCCAGTTTTGACATAGTATTGTATTATAAACTTACCTTTAGAAATATCGGTCAGTTTTGTTGTTATATTTTTGTCTGCTTCAAGAACTTTCACCATTTCAGTTATACCAACTTTCTTTGCTTTATGAAAATATTTTGGTTCAGCAAAGACTGCTATTCTATAACATTTTCCATTGTTTGTATAAAGAACTATTCTGTCAATGTATTTGTATTGTTTGTGTGTGTAAACTTTGTTCTGCTTCAATTCGAAGAGATACTCAATACGTCCATCTTTTTATTCTAAGTAAAATGTCATTTCCGAAAAATAGAAGCGTAAGTGTTTCAAAAGGTTTAATGGCGGTGGCAGATGTGAAGTTAAATTCACCAACTCAAACAAACAGTCAAAGTGTTGTTGTCAATGTCAAAGAAAGAGATGTTGAAGTGGGGAAACCATACGAAGACGAAGATGGTATAACAATAGTTCCTGTAAAAGAACAACCAACATACCCTGAAGTTAGCAGAGACTTAAGTTCTGTTGCAGATATTCGAAACGACTACCAACAACTTAAAGACAAACTTAAAACTCAGGAGAAGATTTGTCAAGCTTTGGGTATAATGTTAAACTTGGTCGAACACAACCCTGTAAAAGTGAACTCATATGTCATTGCACCTCATGAAATTTTGAAAGAACTATTGAAACTTTTGACAGAGGCAGACGATATAAACATCAAAGAAATAGAACCCGACATTGCTTGCTGTGGTGTTTCATATAATGTCATTGACAAGATATACGTTATGAAAGGAGGTGAAACGTTGAACTTAAAATATAGTTTCCCAGACGTCATAAAAATATTTGACGACCACAACATTTCATTAAAATTTACTTGCTAAGTAAATGGCAGAAGACATAGTGGTTTATACTATTACGACTAAAAACCCTGAGTCATATAATTCTATAACAACAAACTTACAAAGTCCTCAAGGACGATATTGTAAACTGACCTTAAACACGATGACGACTAAAGCCTGTTTTGCTCTTTTGACACCAGAAGACTTTGTTGTTGTGAATGGTAAAAACTTCTTTGAAGATACTTACTCAGATATACCACCAACAGGTTTTGTTGACTTATTTAATACTTTAAGGACGGATGTAACATGTGCTGCAACTAGAGCAGGTTTCATTATGTTTGGATGTCCGACTGAGTTTAGTATAAACGATATGAGCTATAATACAAAACTTATATCTGGTTTTTACTACCAACAGTTTCCTATAACAGGAAAAGGTGTCATACAAGGTTTGTCTGTTCCATTGACTTTAAGTACACCTATTTTATATATTGTTTCAAACTTAGGTTCAAAGTGCTATTCGAATGTCGACAGAAACTACTATGACCAAAAGATACTCATGCGTATAAACAACACTTTCTCTGCTGGTTTGCCTATTGTTCATTCGAATGCAGAGTTTTCAGCTTTAGTAAACTCAAACACTTTAGCAAACATAAACTTAACCTTAGTTGACGCAAACTTTGTTCCTGTAAAACTTTTATGTCCTATGTATTTGTCAATGACGGCAGAAAGTTTCGAATTGGAAGATGCAACTGGTGAAAGTATTGTACTACAAGAACAACTTCAACAACAAATAGCTCAAGAACAACAAATGCAACAAATGCAACAAATGGAACAAATGCAACAACAAAGTCAAGAATAAAAAAAATATTTTTTTTTATTTTTATAAAAATGTACAGAATAGACGTTTCAGATTTTTATGACTTCCAAGCGTTCAGAAATATGTGTCCATTTAGAGACTATAACAAAGCAGTCGAGAATTTGAAACGTTTAGTCATTTATGTCGACTCTGCCCCAGAATGTTATGTCATGAAAGAATGGGATGTTGTCTTTAACAAACCAAGAGCAACAATAGTTTCAGAACAAGAATGTAGACAGAAACTTAAGAAAATAAAAGTCGTACAAGTTGGTATGAAGATGTTAGATGCTTGGGATATCTTATTGTCAAAGTTAGAAGATTTTTCAGTTCGTGGTATAAAGTTCTATACACCATCTCCAAACTTCTATTCTATCTTCACTGGATATAAATACGAACAAGTAGAATGGAAAGAAAATGTTATAGAAGCTTGGTTAGACCATGTCAAAGAAATTATATGCAATGGAAACGAAAGAGTCTATGAGTATATCTTATGTTGGTTTGCAAACATCTTACAACATCCAAGTGCTAAAAATGAAACTGCTCTCATCATAATTGGAAAACAAGGAACAGGTAAGAACACTTTCTTTACAGATATCTTATGCAAACTGTTAGAGGGCTATTCGAACCCGAATATGACAAACTTAGAAAACATCTGCGGTAAATTTAACTCTTCAATAGAGAATATGAAACTTATAGTATGTAACGAACTTCAAAGTATAGATACAACAAAGGTTTTAAACTCAGATGCTTTGAAGAGTCTTATAACAGACAAAGTTGGAGTTGTTGAAAGAAAGTATAGAGACCAAAGAGTTTGTGAAAATGTTGCAAACTTCGTCATGGTTTCAAACAATGTTGTTCCGATGAAGTTAGAAAGTTCTGACAGAAGATATGTAGTTGTCAGAACGTCAGATTCTCATATGCAAGATACAGAATATTTTGACGACTTAGCAGAAACTTTGACACCTAACTTTTACAACCACTTGTTCTCATATTTCATGACATTAGATATTTCAAAGTTCAATCCAAGACAAATTCCACATACCGAAGAAAGACAAACATTGTTAGAAGCAAACAAGAGTGTATATGAACTGTTCATAGATGAGACTAACTTTGAGTGTTTAGATGAAAGGTCATTGTACGATTCATATAAACAATATTGTCAAGAGTATGGTTATATGGCAGCTTCTAAACGTACATTCTTGGCAAATGTCAAAAATCTTTTAGACATACAGAACGGCGTATATACAAAGAAAAATTTTTATGAGTAAATTTAAAAAAAATATTTTTTTATCCGATAGAAAAGATGACGAAATATATTTCAGTCAACAAGTACATGACAGAAGTCAAAGAAGAACTAGACCCATTCGCTTATTTGAATGTTTACTTCTACCATTTTGAAAAGTCTACATTTGACAAAGTTTGGAACATCGAACCAGTTAAGTTTGCTATTGTGACTAAAAATGGTGCGAAATTTGAAGACTTAGACATAGAAGGTTTGTTAGCAGTCAAAGAAAATTTTGACAGAAGGTTTTCAAACCTTAAAGAAGGCAAAGCATACAAACTTGTTATACCTTATGAACCAAAGAAAGCAGACGACTATGAATATTATGAGTCTAAGATAGTTGAAGTTCAAGGTAAATTGGGTAAAAAGATTTTAGAGTCTAAACCAGTGTTTGCTCCTAAAGAGGAAGAGAACATTGACATTGACCCAGAAATGTTCTAAAAATAAAATTTTATTTTTACATGTCAAATTTCTTTTTCTCTGGCTCTGGCTCTGGCTCTTTCTTCTCTTCTTCTACTTTCTTTTCTTTCTTTTCTCTCTTCTTCTTCTTCTCTGGTGGAGTTATGTCAAATTTGGCGCAACCATATTTATGTAAAAGGTCTTTGTCCTTTAATAGCTCTTCTATTCTGTTTTCTATTTCATCTTCAAGAACAGCGCATGTGTCTTCTTTGCATTCTAAGAACTTTTGTTGGACTTCATCTTTCCAATCGGCGTCATCTCTGTCAACAAGTCTGTCATTGACAAACTTAAAGACTTCTCTGCTTAATGTTTTATGGTTCTTGTCATATTCCCAGAAACAGAACTTTAGAACAAATTCACCTTTCTTGTTGACACTATGTAAGATTTTATGGTCGACAGATGTTTTGCTGTCGAAAAGTTTGTCTCGAATATAGATAGCGAAATCGCTAGACATTTTCTAAAAGATAAAATTTTTAATTTTTCTAAAAATATGTTAGAAAAAAAGTTTGCTGACATTGACAAGAAATTTGAGAATGTTTTAAACAAGAACAAGAGGAAGTTAGAAAATGCTCAGATAAAGCCTATACATGACAAGTTCTTATTTGCTCAGAATGGTATAACAGGTCTAATTGCACCACCTGGGTCGGGTAAGACTTTCACTTATCTTAAAATGGCTGCACAACAACAAGAACTAGATGAGAAGAACCCATTCTATGAGTTAGTTGTCATTTGTAGTACTTCTGGTCAATTTGACCAAACCGTCAATTCGTTCAAAGATATTATAAAGAAGTCTAAGTTAGTATGTATAAAAGACTCTGAGTTGTTAGATTGGATAAAGAAGTACCAAAGAAGAGTTTTGAAGTACAATGCTATAAATGAGTATGTCAATTCGAAGTTTAAAGACCCAAATGAGGAAATGCAGAGAATATTAGAGAAGAAACACTTCAGAAACAAACAGAAAGAGATAGAATACATTTCGAAGAAATTGCAATCTTACGATTGGAAGACTTACCCTCATAGATGTCTTCTTATCTTAGATGACTTTGCTTCTCATCCTTTGTTAAAGAACAGAGAACAAGACATGTGTCGAATTCTCAAGAAGCTCAGACACTTTAACATTTCAGTTGTCATTTGTGTACAGACAGCCAAGAGTTTAAGTAAGGATGTAAAGAGAATACTTACTGATATCATACTTTTCCCTGGATTGTCCGAAGACGATTTCATGGAACTTATGAAAGAGTCCATGGCAGGTAAGTTTGACAGACATGAACTATGGGAGAAGTACAAAGTCATACAAGACCCTCATACTTCTTTCAGAATTCATATCTACGCAAACAAAGTTCAAATTGTAAAAAGTCAAGCTTGAAAAATAAAGAGTTTTGGCGACCAGGGTTTTTTACTACTCGCTGTTCTTCATGAAATTTCATACGGAATTCAATAAAAATAATGTTTATGTTAGAATGTTTAATCTAACATGTTTTCTAACATGTTTAAAATTACAACATACTTCATGAAATTTCATACGGAATTCAATAAAAATAATGTTTATGTTAGAATGTTAGATCTAACATGTTTTCTAACATGTTTTCTAACATAACTATTTACAAGCGTTTTACATGGTATATGTTGCGATGGTTCATGACTCTAAACAATTTCGTAGCTTCTATTTCTTCTGTCAGTACATCGAATGTTTTAACGATACCGAAAGTTTCTTTATACTTCTTCTTGACGTCAGATAGAAGGAAATCGTCAGCAGTTGGATAGTTTTTGTTCAGAAATGCTAACATGTTCATTTTATCTTCTGCTGGCTTTTCTGCTTCTTTCTTTAAGTCTGCATAGTCGTTTCTCATTCTTTCTATCTCTTTGACTGAGTAGTTATATTTCCTCATTGCTGCTTTACATTTAGAACATTGCGGGTTCATTTTTGCGTTATATTCTGAAACCTTACCTGCTAAAACAACTAAGGCGTCAATTGCTCTCTTCATCTCGAACATAGCGGGTCTTATTTGTTCGTTCCATACCTTACCTCTTCTATCTTTATCTCTTATTTCCCAAACACATTTTGCAACTAATGAAACAAAGTTGTCGTAGGTCTTAAATTCTTCGGATTTGTAAAGGTCAGAGATGTTCTTATATACCATGTCGCAATCTTTGTCCATAACCTTATGGTTGCAATGAAATCCTAGAAACTCATAGTTTACCTTTCGTATGAACTTCTTTATTTCTACTGAGTCAGTAACTTTAACTTCAATTTCGTCGAATTCAGGAATAGTGAGTTTTTGTTGTTGGATTTCAGGCAATTTGGGTAAATGGTCAATAATGTCCTGCATTTCATAAAGATACTGTTCATTTGTTTCATCTTTCGCACTACAGTCTAAATTACTTGTTAAAAGTTCTTGCTTTATCTTCTGGATTTTTGTTTCGAAAGTATATGAAGAAGGAATGAAGTTTTTCATCTCTACCAACATAGATGTTGGATTCATAACTAACGAGTTTGGTGCTGTAGTTGTTTGAACTGTTGTTGTGCCGATTGTTGAAATCATATTTTTTATACAAAATAAAAAAATATTTTTTTAAAAAAACCAACTTTATTTTTTATTTCGGGAAAACTCATGAAAATTCAAGAGTTTTAGACCATGTTAGAAAACGTGTTAGAAAACATGTTAGATCTAACATTCTAACATAAACATTATTTTTGCTGAAAAAGTGTTATTTTTTCATGTCCGAAGACTCGAAGGTGCAACACTTCCAAAATACCGACGAACTCAGAAGAGCAGCATGGCAGTATCTTCTTGACAACTTCTTTGAGTTCTCCAGGCACACCTTGGAAAATGCTGAAGAACTCCGACACAGAGAATTTGGAGAAATTGCACTCCAATACTACCTTGACAAACAAAGGGTAAACAAAGGGTAAAATAAGACTAAAAACTTAACGTTTAAAAAGTGACATTTTTATGAGCTCCGAGTCACCGAGAAAACTTGGTCAGATGTTAGCAGCTTACTTCCCTGAGGAGGATGGAAGCGTTACATACGTAAGGTTCAAAAACAACGAACCTGGAATTGCGTACCAAATTCGCAATTACATGACCATGGAAGAGTACGAAAGGTTTCTACAAGAGAAACCAGCTCTAAACAACTCAGAAAAGAAAGAATAAAAAGTTTAACTCGTAATTGTTTATTTTTTTACTTGTATGGGCAAGCTGCAAGAATGAAGTCGACTATCTCGGTCTTTGTCTTGACCAGTTGGACTGCTCTTGCGAGTACGTCTGTTTTACGGTCTCCAGCTGGTGTCTGACCTTCGTAATTGCGCATGTTCTTGAGAGCTCCAGTTGTAAATGGTTGTAGGATGAAGAGTCTCTCAGACTGCTTGAGGTAGTCTTCACGGTCACGAACCGAATCTGTGGTACGAGTCGAATCGGTCGATTTGAGGGAAGAGAGTGAGAGCCTGTCTTCTTCCATAGGGGCTGTGGCATACTCTTTGCGTAAACGGTTCAGACCTTCTTCGAACTCTTGGTCTCTCTTGGACTGAGATTGGAATTTGAATTGGGGTGGAGGGTTTGACATGAACATCCAAGGGTTAGGGAAGTAAGGCATGGGTTGAGGAGGGTAGTTTGGAAAGCCTTGTGGTGGGTAGTTTGGAAAGCCTTGTGGTGGGTAGTAACCTTGAGGTGGAAATTGGTAGTAATTCGGAGGTCCTTGTTGGAACTGAGGTTGCTGTGGGGAGCCTTGTGGAGGTGGAACCTGTTGTGGTGCTGGAGCATGCTGTTCTTCTGGCTGTGGAACGGGTTCAGTAGGTGGGACGTCGGACATTCGTTTGTGTCTTAACCGTCTTTGTTCTGAAACAATATAATATTGTCTTGAAAAAGTACAATATTGTCTTGAAAAAGTACAATATTGTCTTGAAAAAGTACAACATTGTCTTGAAAAAGTACAACATTGTCTTGAAAAAGTACAACATTGTTCTGAAAAAGTACAACATTGTTCTGAAAAAAAACATTGTTCTGAAAAAGTTCAAGACTTGTTCTGAAAAAGTACAGCCGTACTCAAATTTGAGAGACATTGTACTGAATTTATACAACATTGTTCTGAAAAAGTACAACATTGTCTTGAAAAAGTACAACATTGTCTTGAAAAAGTACAACATTGTCTTGAAAAAGTACAACATTGTCTTGAAAAAGTACAATATTGTACTGACTCAGTATGGAGCTTGACCCCTTAGACGAAGCAATTTATCTAATTGAGGTAAATGAAACCGTGAAGGAATATCTCAGCAAGTGCAAACCAAGCAAGTCCATTGGCTTCTGGTTGTCCAAGAATAGTGTCTTAAAGTTGGAAATTGAAACAGGTGTTGCAATTCAAGTTCCAGAAGGCACTGCATTCGATGATATTAAGGATGTGAAGAAAGAAGCCCTCTTGAAGTTCTTCATGAAACGTCCTTGGATACTACTTCCATATCGTGAGAGCCCAATTCCACGAATTACACAAATTCTCAGAGCACTACTTCACTACTCTGGACAGCCGTTCTTCATAACCTCAGAAGGCGACATCCAACCAATTCAGTAAACATCTCATTTTAACTTCACTTTTTTTATGTTTTTACTCACACTCGTACTCAACAGGTTTGTGTACAACTATTTCAACTGTGAACCTTGTATTGACCGGTCTTCCTGCAAATGCAAGTTCGGTCAATACACAATTTATGGTGGCAAGAAAGACAGTGGGGAATGTTATTCTGACATCTGTTGTTGCGCTCGAGAGAGAATTGAAATTCCAGACCCAACTCCAACAAGAACTCTCAAGTTGCCGAAGACTCATGTGAAGAAGAAGCCTTCTGGTAAGTTTCTTATAGCCATATACATGGCACGCTTTGAGTAAAAACATTTTTTTCATTTTTTGAATGAAGCAAGTTAAATTCGTCCCACACCAAACTCAATGGACCGATGAAGAGTTTCAAGCTATGGTTGAAGGTGTTGAGAACGACATAGACGGCGAACTTGAAGGAGCTCAAACCACAATTGCAACCAAAATTGCAGAAGTCAAGGAACAAATAGCTCCACTTAAAGCTACCAAAGCTACTCTTGACCTCATGGATACTTACCGTTTAGAAGTAAAGAGTGGAATAAGACAATTAAAATTAAAACTTCTAAACTACGAAGCTATACTCCAAAAGTTAGCAGAAATGAGAAGACTTTACCAGAGCTACTTACATGTAAGGGACTTACCTTCAAGCAGTCCGACCAAAGATGAATTTTCTGACATTGTCCCAATTTTGTCCGAAAGTCAGCTCAGATGTTTTGAACTGCTCCCAACATATCCAGAATATGAACGTTTGCCTGAACTCTTCCGCAATCTCAAAAAACGTTTTTTGGTTCTCATGTTCGAAACTTTTATCGGAAGAGACAACAAACGTTCAGAAGAAGAACAAGATATTATTTTAAACTTGTTGTATGACTTAACCGTCATAACAAGCTTTTTGAAGTAAAACCGTCATTCTCAAACCACTTCATTTTTTCGATGTCCGAACAAGCACCGAAGCCGAACACAATGGAAGATGTCCTTTCAATGTTGCCAGACAAGCGCCCAGTTCAAATTCAAATTTTGAATTTGAAAGCTCATCTGACAAACACCGTTAAGACTCTCCAAAGTAGTCTTATGGAAGAGATGAAGGGACTTAAAGGTGAGTTCCTCATGAACCAAGCTTCCAATGAGAAAGTCCTGAACGATTTGACGGAAACCTTGCGCATTTACGCGAGAGAGAACCGAGACCTTGCCAGACTCATCTACCGTTTCTTCGAAGAGATAGACGCCATCTGGAAGGTACTCGGAAAGGACAGAACCTCCAACACCGTACTTCGTGAACACAGAATTGCCGAAGGAATTGTCGAGGAAGAAGAGAAACACGAAGAAGAGGAAGAGGAAGAAGAGGAAGAAGAGAAACACGAAGAAGAGGAAGTTTGGGCAACCCTTGTTGCCGATGACACTTACGAAATTTCCCAACCCTACCCATACCAAATCCGCAACAAGGAGACCGGCAAGGTTCTTACCCCAGTTCTCAACAACTTGGGACACTTGAACCTTACCCTTCGGAATTACGGTTCAATCTCCATGGGCAAGCTTGTCGCAATTCAATGGGTTCCAAATCCAAACAAGAGGACGAAGGTCAGACACATTGACGGTGACAAGCTCAACAACCGTAAGGAGAACCTCGAGTGGTTCTAAGAGTAAAAAAATTTTATTTTAGGGGGAAACCCCGAGTAAATTTAAGTTTTTAGTTGCGTAAGCGGCTTAAATTAAGGATAATTTGGACAAGTAGTTCCTGACCTCTGAATTGGACTCTTTCGTCATCCCAGTTGCGTAGGAGGTCGT